TTGTGCATGCACTTGCTCCCACCACCCTTGACGATGCTCTTTGCTTGGCATAACGTTATGAGACGTCGCCTCTTCCACTTCTCATTGCACGTCCTTCAGCTCCACTTTCTATAGGTGATGGTCCTATTCCAATGGAGGTTGATGTTGCTATTGCTCGAGTCCAAAGACAAGGGCAATGTAAGCAACCAAAAGAGAACGACTTGAGAGATGGTCCATGGGGTTCAAATATAGAGGGAAAGGGCCCATGAACAAAAATGCACCCCCTTTTCCAATTGGTTAAGAGTCTTGGGATATTTAGGGTTAAGCGTCCTTGGGTTTGATAGTACTGGGCTGGGTGACCTCTCGGGAAATCCAAATTCATGAGCTTACAGGTGAGGACGTGGTCGTGGCTGTGATGTTCGCTACTGGGCGTGTGATGAAGTTGGTCATACTTATCGGCGTTGTCTGCGTTTTCCGGATTGGCGACCTCCATTTCCTGAATGGAGACCTTGGCGTCAACAATGTCCTGTTGGTGCTGCTGCAGTGGACGGTTTGGACACCAAGATACATATGGGAAATGAAGAGTCACACAAGTAACGAAGGGACCTTGCACGAATAAGTTAGTGACCCCTCCATCTTTTTTTCGGGAGTATCATTAAGGGGTTCATTCGGCACCAGTTCATCCAATGTTTACTTTCCAAGCTCATTTTTAAAATAAGAGGTTTCCTATTATTCTCTCCGTGTTGGTTGATACAGGTTCGAGTTTATCTTCTATTGCTCGACTTGTTGCCACACGTTGTCATCTACACTTGCGTCGTGCGGTGGAACCAATTTTCATTCTTTATGGCAACAGCCGTACACATGCATGTGCACGGGATGAGGCAGACCTGGTTGTGCATGTGGGCAATCTCGAGCTTGAGTTGCAGTCATTGCGGGTGGTGCCGAGTCAAGCTTTTGACCTCATTCTTGGTATGGATTGGTTGCAGCGCAATCATGCTAAATGTGATTTTGAAGCTTCTCCCCCTTGTCTCATACTTCCTTATGTTTCATCCATTCCTCTCACTTCTGTACCTCTTTTTCCCTTTACTTCTACCTCTGCTTCCATTACTTTTGTTTCCCCACTATTTCCTCCTATGTTTCCATCTTGTTCTGCTCTTCCTTTCTCCGATCCCTCTGACGATTTTTGTGTTGCAGTGGTGGATTGACTTATGAAGGAGTATTTTTATCTCTTTGAATTTGACCTAATGTCTGGGGCCAAAATTGCCACACGTCATCCAATTCCAACTGGGGATGCTCGTCCAATCAAGGTTCCCATTCATCGTCAGTCACCCAAGGAAATCAAGATTTTACGTGCAAATGTTAAGGAGATGTTGGAGAAGGGTGTTATTTGGAAGTCGCGGAGTCCTTGGGCATGTGAACCTCATCTTCTGACGAAGCCTGATGGGAGGATTCGTTTTTACATTGATTATCGTCTGTTAAACGAAGTGACGATCCCAGATGTGTACCCTCTTCCTCACACTACTGATCTCTTAGATCGTCTGGGGCGTAATCATTGGTTTACCAAGCTAGATCTTGCTTCTGGGTACTGGCAAGTACCGATGGTCGAAGAAGATATTCCTAAGACTGCTTTTCGTACACCATTTGGTTTGTACAAGTTCTTGGTGATGCCGTTTAGTTTGAACAATGCTCCAGCAACTTTCCAACGGATGATGGATGAGGTTCTTTGCGATATGCTGGAGGTGACTGCTGACTTCATTGATGATGTCTTGATCCACTTAGAAGGGACATGGGAGGAACACGTTCGTGATGTTTGTAAAGTGTTGGATTAGCTATACGACGTTGGTTTAAAGCTGAAGCAGATGAAGTGCGTGTTTGGGTCCAAGGATACAACTTATCTTGGGTACCATATTTTTCGTGAGGGTTTGCAAGTTGATCCTGACAAACTTGTGGCTGTTATAAAGTTCCCTACTCTGAAGTGTGTGAATGATGTGCAACACTTCTTAGGCAGGTGCAGTATCTCAGTCGTTTTGTGGATCATGTTTCTGATCACACTGCACCATTGTGAGCGTTGCTGAAGTCATCAACATCATCTTTCATTTGGTCTCCGGATTGTGAGCGGGTATTCAAGGATCTCAAAGAGCTATTGATGATTCCTCCAGTTTTGGCATATCCTGACTACACTCAACCTTCTATTTTGCGCGTGGATGCTTCTGACATTGGTTTTGGAGGTGTGTTGATGCAAGAAAGCTCAAGTGTGCCTAGTCAGTGCCATCCCATTGCATATATAAGCCGTACGTTACAACCAGTGGAAATGAATTACTCCACGACAGAGAAGGAGTGTTTAGTAGCAGTTTGGGGTTTCGAAAAACTTCATGCATATCTACATGGTTCTCGGACGTTACTTGAAGGTGATTATGCTGCTGTTACTTCATTATTGAAGTGGAAGAATCTGGTTGGTCGTACTGCTCGATGGGCTTTGAAGCTTCAGATATATGATTTTGATGTTGTTCATCGCCGAGGGAGTTCTTTGGCTGATGCTACTGCCCTTTCTTGAGCTCCTCTTCCTTCTCCATTCTCTTCTCATGTTTCTAACGAGCCTGTTGTTCCAGCCTCTGTGGAATTTCTAGATGAGGATTTTGTGCTGTCGGCGGTTGCTGTACTTGATGTTTAGTGTCCACAAGATGCAGAGCAAGATCTACCTTCTCTTGATGAGGTTCGCGAGGCTCAAAAGATTGAGCCATGGATTCGAAGGCTTTGAGATGGGTTTGAGAATCTTGCGTCACTTGTTGTAGACTTGCCTTTCCAACATTTACATTCTCAATATTGCCTCGAAGACAGCCTTCTTTATTTTGTGGGGACGGATCTTGATGATCATTTATGGCTAGTGGTGCCTTCTATATTTATTCCGTGGTTTCTCCATGCCTACCATGATTCTCCTGTTCTGGGTGGGCATATGGGACATCGTCGTGTAATTGAGAAGCTGTGCAGGTTTTTCTATTAGCCGGAGATGCGATGTGATATTATTCAGTATGTGCGTAGCTGCGTTTGGTGCCAAGCTCATAATACTCCCCCTCGGGTTGCAAAAGGACGGTTGGAGTCAATTGCAGTTTCCCGTCTGTTTGAGTTGGTGGCATTTGATCTTATGGGACCTTTTCCACGGTTGACTGCTAGCAATGAATATGTTATTATTGCTTCTAACTACTTGACTTGTTGGGTGGAAGTTGGTGCTCTGGCTAGTGCCTCTGCAACTGCTGTTGGATACTTCCTCCTCAATCAAGTGGTGTTCCAGCATTCTTGTCCAGAGTGGATTCTTTCGGATAATGGTCCCGCATTTATGGCTGAGGCATTTCATGTTTTGATGTCTCGGCTGGGGATACGCCACACTTTCACAAGTGCTTATCATCCACAATCAGACGGTATGGTGGAACAGCTCATTCGAACATTCAAGGGGATGATTGCAAAGTATATAAACTTTCAGCATTCGGATTGGGATGGTTATTTGCCGTCTTTTCGGTATGCATATGTCACAGGGGTGCAGAGTTCTGTTGGTGCTTCACCATATAAAATTTTATATGGTCATGATCCAATATTACCAACGGAGTTAGGTTTACCTTTGCGATTGCCACGAGTTGCGGATGCTAGGTCGTGGGATCAGTATTTGACGAGCATTCTTCCACTTGTCCGAGCGGAGTCTGCTGAACACTTAGACCGCATACAAGTGGGACAACAATGGTGGTACAACTCCCATCATCGTCCACCTGCAAAGTACAAAGTGGATGATTTGGTGTTAGTTTGTTTTCCCCATCTTACAGTACGTGGTTTATTTAAGGGGCTCCTTGCACAGTGGAAAGGACCGTATCGGGTGTTACGGCAAGTTAGACCACAAGTTTATGAGGTTCAGCATGATGTCCAGCAGACCGATCCTCCAGAGATTGTGCATGTGTAGCGGTTGAAACACTTCATACAAAAGGATCAAGAGCAGTTAATACCACCTACAGATCCACCAATGCCTCCTCTTAACATTCCTCCAGATCCTGACCCATCTACAAAAGAACCCTGACAGTCTTCCTTTATTCTAAGATGAGGGGATGATGTAAGGGCCAAGTGTACGGCTACGATGCCGTATACTAATATTAGCGTAGTGGGATTTTGGTAGCCGTCAGATTGGTTTCAATTTGGACCACTCACTCCTGTATATAAGCTAAGGTTTTTGGGCTAATTGACAAATAAAAACGAAAGAGCAAAAGAAAAGAAATGACAAAAAGCTAAAAGGAAATGGTAGATCTAAACAATGCAAAAAGCTAGATCTAAACCAAAATCCCAAATCCAAGCACTCATTAGGGACAATCAAAAGTACCCCTCAACTCCACCAATGTAAGTATGGAAAGAGAATATAAAAATATGCATATCAATTAGCCCAAAAACCCTAGCTTATATACAGGAGTGAGTGGTCCGGATTGAAACCAATCCGATGGCTACCAAAATCCCACTACACTAATATTAGTATACGGCATCATAGATGTACACTTGGCCCTCACAGAGCAAAATATTTTCTTATGTTTTTAATAAGAAAGAAAGAGGCATAAAGAATATATATATAAAGCAAAGAAATAAGAAAAAACAAACATTTTAAAAGTAAACTGTATGTTTAAAGCAACCATAATATGTTTATATATACTTTTTTACTTTAAAGTAAAATCATTCACCTTCTTGCTATCTAGGGTTTAAAAGTTATTGTATACTAAATATGCAATTTAAAAAATTTAATTTTTCTTTTTTTATGCAAATTGTGCTAGTAAAAATATATTAAAACAATATATTATCATAAAATGAATTTAATTAAATTAACCTTTTATAAACTAAACATCCAGTCAATAAGCTTTAAACGGATGTGTTTAAAAGTTGGTATAAAAACTACTTATTTCCATCAACGCTGTCCCTCCAGGCTTTTGAGGACTTTGCAAGGAACAGTGCTCAGTGCTCTACAGTTTTTTAGAGAAGCCAGTCCTTGCAATCCAGAATCCAGTAACGTGCTGCGCTTACGGAACAACGACATCTCAATACATTGGCCAAGTTACAGCAACAGCCACCTAGTGTGCGAGACATTAGCTCCCTTTTACCCGAGGCTTCAGATACTGGCGAGCGACTGTACTCCTCCCAACGTGATCACATACCAGGCTCATTCACGGCCTTTGCTTGAAGATGGAGCTGGAGATCTGCTTGACAATATGGCCAAACGGGTCTGCTAATTTAGCTGAGAAAGACTGCAGCTGAAGCTCTTCTAAACATGACAATGCTCAAGCCTCTATCAGGCCGGAGAGAGTTCAAACGTGTATCCGCTTCCCGACTGGGTGAGAACCTTGCTGCATCGAATCATGAATCAAATATCCCATAAACTTCTTTAGAAAACACTCACCGAAACTCCACGCTACGTAGCTCACAATTTGCGTACCTGCACAAGGACTCGGGTGAGTTTTAGAAGAGAAAAACCTCGTCACCTTGTAGTGTTGACGTTCTTGTCGCCAAACTTAGTGAGCAAATTGACCAGAAATCCTCCGTGAGAGACCACAGCTATATCCTTCTCTTTACGATTGGACAGCCTGCAGCAATAAACCAACTAGTTAGGAGGAGGAGAAGTTACAGAATTCATACCATTCGAGGAAAGCTCTAGTTCTTCTGCCGAGCTCTTCTTCAGTTTCCTTGACATCAGGCCTCCACAACTCGTCTTGGTCTTGCTCAATCTACTCCAGACAGTAAGCCAGTAAACAACAATTGAATTTTACGCTTACCTCAGAGAAATCGATCCCAGGGAATTGAAGCTCGTTTTTACTCCTGGAACTCCTGTGGTCGCAAGGCATCACGCTCTGTTGTTTCACAAGATTATATTTTTTCTTCCTCTCCAATAGGGAAATCTTACGTACCATTTCCTCCCTACAAAGCTCTACCGCAACGAAAGGAGGAGAGCCCGAGCTGGAGATTGCCGGGTGAGGACACCTTCCAGCGAAATGCACCATCAGAAGTTGTGAAACATCAGAGTGATTGCCTCCTCCAAACACACCGGCCGCTGTTTGCAACGTCCTGGACAGAAATCTCATCGCAAAAGAAACAAAGAAAAGGAAAGACAAAGTATCATACCGAGTTAAGGGTGAGACCACAACAAGGCTAACACGATCTCTCACTCCAGAACTCTCAAGTTCCTTGCCAAGCTGCTCAGCCTGGCAGAAAGAAAAACATCAGAGGAGATCGAGAGAGATTTGACTTACTTGCTGCCAGCCAGTGGACGTTAGGCTTGCATCAGTGTGCTCGTAGTAACTAGTAGTCGGCTTGTTAGAGCTTGTAGTGACTTTAGAAGATTGGAGCAAAAGGCTACAGAACATGAGATTCCACACGCAGCGCAACGCCCTAACGATGTGGCTGATCCTCAGGCGCCTCCACCGCCCGTCAAACAGTACCTTCCACGCGCTCCCAATCTGGAGCAAGATCTCCCCCTCCACGTTGTGGAACGCCTCGCCATGGCGCAGCAATCGCAGCGTCTTGGGCTCCATCTTTCCTCTCAAGAACCCTAAACCCTTTTTGGCGCGGGATCCAAATTAAACTTTTGTCTTTTATTTTAAAGGGGATCCTAGTTTGGATTTGATTGTAAAACTTATCTTGGATTTATAATTTATAAAATTTCCCTATCTAATGGTTTAAGATTAATTTGGTGTTTATGAATAACACTACTATCAAGCAAACTAAGAGTTATTAGCAATAAATTATCCATCTAAAATGTAAGCAAATGCAAAATAATTTAATATCAATGGGTAATGAGTGGCAGTAAACTGGCTGCTTAACTTCCACTTTACTCAAGGATTGTGAGCTACGTACCATGGAGATCCAAGTGAGTTTTTTCTATATCAAAGTTTACTGCAAGATTCGTTTCAGGAACCTGCTTCTATATTTCGTCGCAGCTGATTTGCTCAGAGAAAGACCGCAGCTGAAGCTTGCACAGCGCTCTCACGAGTGTCCTAAACATGACTTTGTCACCGGCGAACGGCATCCTCTCGAGCAGCTCAAACGCCTCATCGATCCGTCCCTGCTTGCAAAAAGCCGCGACGATGGTGCCGTAGCACGCAACATCTGGAGCGCAGCCCCTCTTGGCCATGGCGTCGAGCAGAAGCACGGCTCTTTCCAGCTCCATCTTCAAGCAGAGGCCGTGAATGAGAGCCCGGTACGTGATCGCGTTGGGAGGAGTACAGTCACTCGCGAGCATCACCCCGAAGAGCCTGTGAGCCTGGTCGAGTCTCCCGGCCTTGCAAAGAGCGCTCATCACAGTGTTGTAAGTGTAAACGTTGGGAGCTAGCTTCCGGTCGAGCAACCTCTGGAAGAGCTCCACACACTCGTCGGTCCTGGCATTCCTGGCGAGCCACTTGAGAAGAATCGTGTAAGTGATGGCATTGGGATCACAGCCTCTGGATACCATCTCCTGGATCAGTGTAACAGCGCGGTGGTACCGGTTGTCTTCTACAAGCCCATTGATCAGCGAGTTGAAAGTTACGACGTCGGGAAGAACACCATCTTGGTTCATCCGTGGTAGCAGCTTGTACGCAAATCTCCACAGCCCGTGCCGGCTCAAGCCTTCGAAGAGGATGTTATACGTGTAGATGTCCGGCGAAGGCCCTGTTCTCGCCATCCTCGTGAACACTTTGATGCCCCGCTTGAGTCTCCTTGCCTTGAGAAATCCCAGAACAAGGCTGTTGTAAGTGACGACGCTAGTGCAATGCTTCGCGTCTGCTTCCTTGGCAATCTCCACGGCCTCGTCCACTCGTCCAGTTTTGCTGAGCTCCTCGATCACTGGATCGTAAATCCTGGCATCTGGAACGCAGTTTCTCGAGATCATACGCTCCACCAGCACTTTCGCCTTGTCCACCATCCCGGACTTGCACAGGCTATGGATGATTAGGCTGTACGTGTCTTTGTCCGCCTCGAGCCCGACGCTCTCCATCTGCTCCAGCAGCTCGAGAGCCTCGGCTGTGTTTCTCGGATTCTTGCAAACAGCGCTGAGAAAGCTGTTGCAAGTGTGGAGCCTCACGGAGGACGAGCCATGCCTGAGTGCCATTGCTAGAATCAGCTCGCGGGCTCGATCCACCCGACCGCGATCCAAAAGTCTGTCAACCAGCGAGTTCACGTCCTCGGACTCGCAGCCGAGCTTGAGAGCCAAGCCACAGGCCTCGTCGATTCTATCCGACTGATACAACCCTTGGACTAGACTGCGAAAACACTCGGCACCACCGGCCTCCACGCATTCCTCCTCGGACAACTCCTTGAAACTTTCCAGTGCCTTGTCGAGATCTTCGTCGAGAACCCGAGAGATGCGAAGAACCAAGTCGAGCTTGACTTCGGTTCCTCTCACTTCTCGCAGGATCTCGTAGACGTCGTTGTTCCTCTTGGCAGCCGTGAGCGCAGCGACGAGAATCGAGTACGTAGAGACACTGGCTCGCAAGGAGAATGAGTTCTTGGCTTCTCTAAGAAACTCTAGAGCACCATCTACGTTGCCGGCCTTGCAAAGTCCTCGCAAGCAGCCATTTAGATCCTGGATGGACAGCGTCGATCCATTCTCGGCCATGTCCTTGAGAAGCTCGATGGTCGCTCGGAGATTCCCCTGTTCGCTATACTTCACAGCGAGAGCTGGGAATGCCTGTTTCTTCCACAGCTGGAACAGGGCCTTGGATTCCTCACGCCTGTTCATCCTGTTCATGGTCTCGGTCATGAGCCTGATCGTGTAGCCCGTGTGCTTGAATCGCGACTGCCCCGAAGTGATCCAGTCGAAGAATGCGAGCGCCTTGTCCGAGTCCTGGAGCGCCAAGACTACCTCGTTGTAGACTCGATGATTGACGGGCATGGATTTCCTGGCGAGGAGCTCGGGGGAAGCCAGGCATTCGAGAATGGCCGTGGCCTCGGTGGAGAGGTTTGTCATCGCTGGAAGGATTGAATCCTTGGCACTGCCATGAAGAATCCTTACCCCAAATTTGGCCACATTTGCTCTCACCTGGCCATTGCTCCACATTCTCCATGCTCGTCTGGCGATTTTAGGGCTTTTAGAAATGTGCTGTTAAATTCAAGAATTTGGCACCTTATAAAAGTAAAGTGGTTAATATTTTTATTATTATTATTTTATTAATAACTAGTAAATTGTCCAGCTAATGCTAAGTAGTTTGGCAAAGACCAACATAACTTCGTGACAAAACCTGCTCACAACTCGCAATCTCTTTGTTGATCCCTAGTTGCATAGGAATCACTCTCCTTCCCTTTAAGCCATCTAAGAATCTTCCTGACTTTTCTGACACAGCCATTACCTCATATCACAACATTTGCATACTTTGTGAGACTTCACATAAAAACCCAATGGCCAAAAGAGGAGCCAGCAATCCATTGTTTTATGATGATGGAAAAATCAGAGAAGAAACTTGATGGTTTGCCATCCACTACCACATAATTCAGCTGCAATGACCATCAAGCCTGCAATGCCACAACCTAGAGAGAGACATCCTGAATATCCCACCATCTATAGCATTGAGGACCTCTACTTCACCCTTTGCTAGCCTTTTTGACAAACTTGAATTTATCTCTATAGGTAGAGGTATGTAATTGCACATAGACTCTTATATATTGTCAACTTATTTCTTCCACCTCTTCCAGGATTGTGCTAGTATTTGTGAGCTCTGAGGTGGCTACAACCCTATGGTTGTCAATGTTAGGAATCAGAATGGAAAAGAGTTTGGAAACTAAGAAACATGACTTGGAATGGAAAAAACATTGTAACTGATTAAAAGAGTTTGCAAACTAAGAAACATGACTTGGAATGGAAAAAATTGTAACTAATTAAATCTTGATGTTCATTCTGGCCTCAATAGCTCATCTCTTTAGCTAATCTAACTAGATAGACCAGGTTAGAGTTTGTTAAACTATTGGACCCTTTACAAAAACTAATACTATTTGCAAGCTTATTATAAGTTGTGATGATTGTTCATTTCTTCATGCTCTTGCATCATGTTCCAAAAGTTAGTGGTGATTTCCTGGTTGTCTATACTTTTGATTGGCTTCCATAAATCCAGAGTGACACATGTCATGGTTTGGCTCCTAGACAAACATGTTAGGTTAAGGTAAATTTGGGACATATAAGTATCACCCCAATTGGAAAATGAAAAATTGAACACTTTAAACCATACAACACAACTATGGGTATGCAAGACACAATTGCAATTTGAGACTTGTGGACTTTCTCAACTTTCTATTTTATTCATTTCTAGCATCTGATGTCAATGCAACCAATCTGAGTTTGATCTTCAATCTGCCATTCAAGATGATCTTCAACATGGCAATACACAACACCGTGTTCAAGATGATCCTAGGCAATGCCTAGCATGCTGGCATAACATAAAGCTAGAGAGACATATCCTATGTGGCCAGCCCATCAAGACACCTTCTCCCAGCATTCCAACTATTGACACTTACATGGAGTGACTGACACAAAGTTTCTTGTTCCTGATTGTCACATTGAAACAACAAGAAAAAGGAAAATTTCAATGTTTGACTTACTTTCTTGGTCTAAATCTTCGAAGTTCTGGATTAATTCTAATGCTGGTCAATTCCAGAAGTAGAAGCATTGGGTGGTGATGCAGTAGCCATAGAAGTGTCGAGCACAGGATATGTGGCACCATACTCACCCTGGACAATGCTAAGAGCATATGTTATTTGGGAATAGATCTAGGGCAGTAGGCTGATTTCTCCTGTCCTATGAGTGCAATGTGATTGTCTCAAATTCCTGGACCAATGAGTGTCTTCTCTAATACAACTGATGATACATGTCATGATTTGGCTTTCACCCACAACACCCAATGAACTTCTCTTCCAGCCAGCCTGGCCATCGAAACATCCACATGATTTTTCCAACAACCATAGATACCAAAACTCTCCTTGGCTTGAGATTGGACGGCTGTGAACCTCTAGCCCTTATCGCTTTATTCTTACAGATTTTGTCATCTTCTCTAGATGATAGCTTTTATGGGAGTTTTTAATAATTCTAAAGCTCTTAAATTAAAATAATTATCAATATAAGATAAAATTTCCATGTGTGAATATATTTTTATAAAACTTATGTTAGTATTTAGAATATATATCTTTACTTTTTATTATATTTTAAATAAATTATTGTTGAAAATTTAGTTTTAATGTTTTAAAAGAGTACCTTATGTTTCATAGAAGTAAATATCACAAGCATATTTTCAATACTTTATTTTTATAAATATATATTCTTAAAGATCTTTAAAATATATGCTAAGGGTAAATGCATGTACAGTTTGGTATAAAAATATGGTACAATATAATTAAAAATCAAAATTTATTATGGAAATAAATTATTTTATGACAAAAATTAAAATTCTACAATTATTTTTTATTTTATGAATAATGATGATCCTCATATAATTTATTTATTTTTAAAAAATTTTATCATATAAAGAGTTATAAGGTAGATTATTGTCATTCAACTACTTTTATTTGTCATTTATTTGTACCACTGAATCATACATTTTCACTAAATAGAAAAAATATAGTTTTATATATATTAAAACATTATTAACAAAATGTCTTTGAGTCCCATACAGGTTTTACTAATGGCTTGATACTTAATGTTTTTTGGTATATAAAATATAAAACTAAGTTACAATCATTTTGCATTACCAATTTGGCATTTTCATAGCAATTTTGAAAATTACATAAAGTATTAGATTTCCAAACAACATTATTATTAGAAGAATATAAAATTAAATTTCCATTTTCAAGTAACCTTAAAACACATCTAATACCTTTATTAGATGTTTTTGTAGACCATAAGTTTGTATTTTGTGCATATATAATTAAGTTGCAACTAGTATCCAAATATAAATGTGCTTTTCTGTTTAATGATATTAAAAATTGTGATGTCAATAAATACTGATGTGGCATATTATTGTAACCACTTATTAAGGTGTAAGTAAAAATATCACATCCAACACTTTTTGTTGAAGTGATGGTTTTTTGTTTATAATAGCTGGATATAATCTTTATAAAATGTAACACTTGTACAAAATTATGTGGATGATAGTTTCTAACAAAATAGTAAATAATAAAATGTTCAGTTTTTATAATAAAAAATGATGCAGCATATTCCATCATTTCATTAATAGAAACTCTTAAGATTTGAGATAAAGAGTTTCTTATAATAGACCCTGGATTTTCATGACCTTCATTATTTATATAACAAATTTGTTGAACTGTGTCTAAAACAAAAAAACCAAATCCAACATAAGTATTTGGATTTGAAACTAAGACATGTCCATGTGCACTTTGTCCTAGAGGAATCATACCATCTGGTATATTGCTAATTCTTGTTGTAATATCAGTTAAAATAGTAACTACTGCTTGTGCACTTAGAGCATTAATAATACCAATTTCATATTGAATATCAATACCTTCCAAAAAGCCGATCAATAAAATTAATATAGTAAAAATAAATTTCATATTTATTTCTTTAATTTATTTTTATTATTTCAATTAAT